CACACACACACACACACACACACACACGTTGGAGGAAGAGTAGGGCAGAATTCCACCTCCGGGTGTTGGTTTTGTTGAGAACTTAAGAGTCTGAGTTGACTTCTTATGCACAGCCATGCCTCCCCTCCTTTTTTTCCCACACGTTTACGACAGGACGCTCCACTTTGCAATAGATCAGCAATTGTAAAGCCACAGGGCACATTGTCTCTTGCTCTCACTGAAGACATTTTATAGTGACAAGGAGGGGTCGAAAACGCTCGCCTGAAACGCTCTCATGGACAATCAGAGATGCAGGCTAACTTTTGTAGATGCTTTTTTGTTCTAATTCAGTTTTACTTTATATATCAATAATTAAAATAAAGTAGTATTTAATATAGTCAAAAACCACATAAAAATGTCGGCATAGTTCTCAAGGTTGTTTGTTGTCTTGTAGGTGTTATGCCTTTGTTTGTGTGAAGCACATTGAGTTACCTTGTGTATGAAATGTGCTATACAAATAATAATAATAATAGTAATAATAATAATAATAATAACAATAATACTCCGATATACTCTCAGACACTACTGAAAGAGCCTGATCACATTTGGGAAATTTTTCACTCATACATTGTTAATTCAAGCACTCTCAACACACAACAGATTTTTTCCCCTCATACTAAAACAGTTTTACGCATGCTACTGAAATGCATTCATTGCACACTACTGAAACACCCATTCACAAACCCAGGAAATCCTCTCACAGTGCTTTTTTTTCTTCTCAGACACACAACTGACACACTGTGACACACTACCTCAGTTAGTAATTTTAGTAAGGTACTTTTATTTCTTTACTTTGCTTTTAAATGTCTTTAACTTTTGTTTGTTAAAGCATTTAAAAGTCCTTGATGTCAAGCACATTGAGCTATCTTGTGTATGAAATGTGCTATTTTAATAAAGCCTCCTCCTGTTTTTTTTCACACACTACTAAAATGTTTCACTCACATTCACTACTATATATACTATACGATACCATACAGATTACTGAAATGCACATTTTAGTATGACAGCGTTTCAATATGCTTTGTGGTCGCATTTTAGTTGTGTCTATGAGCTAATTCTGAATTGCACCCCAGCCGGCCCCTCACACTACGCATCCGTGCTTACATTTACACACACGCGTGTGCAGCAATTGGTTACTTTCTCGACACGTTTGTTGCATGCATTCGGACCCACCCTTGGAACTCCTCATTGCCTTTCACTGGGGCCGACACGCCTACCTGCATGTGGCCGCATGCAAACGGTGCAATTAGACAGCGTGAGAGCGCAGAGCTTGTCGTCAGGGAAGGGCTGCTTGCAAGTGTCACTGGCTTTTCAACAAACTTTTTCAAATGGAACTCCTGGTCACCTCAAGAATGTTGAACCGGGAACGACACATTCTTTACGCAACCACAGCTATTGGTTTATTTTTCTTTCCCCCCCCACTGTGTCCGCTGCTTCTTTTAATTGGTGTCAACGGACAAGTCACCACACAGGGAATTCATGTTTGCATGAACCTCGTATGACTTTTCAAATGTTGCTGAGTCACAATCCAATTCCCTGTTCTATGGTTATCATCATTATTTTCTTCTTTTGTGTCACTGACAAAAAAAAACAGAATAGGAAAGGCAAAACACACACGCTTAATGCAGTCGATTCTTGTAGGATTTACTCATTTCACACGTTTTGATTTGTGAGGTCTCAAAATGTTCGACTCACCTTTGACTTTGCAGTGAGCATTGGTAAAACCCCTTTTTTTTAAATAAATCAGACTTTACAGTAGCTTATACTTCAATTTGCAAGATTTTTTGTCCTTTTGTTAATGAGGGGACATCAGCAACCCAGAAGAGCAGAGGCATGTTTGCTCATTTTTAAGGGTACTCAAGCACCCGGAAAGTGAATGTAAGCATCCCAAAACAAATGTGGTAGATATTTTGAGATCTACCAGCACCCTTAAATCTCTAATCCCAGATTTGCCCCTGCAGAGGGGCGCAAACCATGCAGGGGGCATTAACATCAAAGATGCAACAGATTCGGAGAAGCAAGATATACGCATCCATGGCCCCAATTAAGAAATGTGTTGGATTTTATTGGCCCCAAGAAAGATTCAAAATTTCTAAAAAACACATAAACAGGCAAGGGGATTTGTTTTACTACTTTTAGCTGATTTAGCACTTATGTTGTTTTGTTTTGCTCTTGCAGGACATTTTTTTTGTCATTTCGGTCAAGATTAACCGCTTGCAGCAAATTGTCTGTTCGGTGATTTTGTTTTTCCTTGTCAGGACAACCACTGTATAAAATAAGAAAAGGGGAAAACTATTTTCTGCGCTAAGAAGTCGTTAAGCACCTTTTTGGGAATCGTATTGGATTCACCTGGGGATTTTTTTCCTGAGTACTTTACTAGTGTTTTGGGGGTTTCATTTTTTTAAACAATTTTTTGTTTGTTTTATGGCATATTTCTTTCCTCTTTTTCTGAATATTTTTCTGGGTTTTTTTTTTTTTTTGGTTTTTCAGGATTTTTTCAGTTCTAAGCAAAAAATACCTGTTATTTCGAATCTTTTCCTGTTTTTCAGATTTTTAATTTTTTTTTTTTAATAACAGAAAATGATATTCTGAAAAAGCAGTCCAAAGAAATCTGACACCTCCTCCCCACACACAAAAGTACATAAAACAGGAAAGTCGCTTTCTTTTTTTTTTTAAACCAGCATAGTTAATTCTAGGTAAAGTGTAAATTCTTTTGCCAACTGTAACAGGTTGTTAACCTATTAAAATCTACATTTGGTGCATTAAAAACGCAATGCACTCTTGCAATTCCCTAACTTGACAGTGTCTTGGACGTGCAATGAGCCAACCAGTAGAATGTCACTGTCAGTGAGTGAGTTCAGTCCTCATTCCTGTCAGCGACAGCGCAAGAGTGGGGAGTGTTTTGCAAACACGCACGAGCGAGCGCGCGCGCGCACACACACACACACACACACACACACACACACACACACACACACACACACACACACACACACACAGTCAAAGGTGTGGTTTCTTTGCGATCCAAAAGCGCTCAGCTTCCGCCTCTTCCCAGCAGACCGAACTCAGCGCACCAGGAGACGGCCACCGGGGGCAAAAGGGTGCACGGTCTGTCCCCAAAATCAACAAAACCTCTCTAGCTGATTTCCCCCCCGACCACCAAAAAAGTAAATAAATCACCCCCCTCCCAGTGCTAAGATGAGTATGTTCGGCGGTTCCACGTCCAGACTGGCGTCTATGGGCCAGCGCAGTAATTCCCGACCGGACTTGTCGTCGTCAAGCTACATGAGGAACGACGTTTTCTTGTCTGGGAACGGTTTACAAGGTGGGGACTACCAGATGGCGGACGGCGGCTACACGACGTACAAGACTACCTACTCCAGGTCTTCCGTGCACGGCGGAGGAGGCACCGGCGGACGCAAAATGCAAGTTAGCATGGGAGCTGGCGGCGGCGGCGGCGGCGGCATAAGGTAAGTTGCGACAAAATCACCTGTTGCATTCGCAAACATAATCGTTCCAAGGCACTTTTTTTTAATGCTGTTACTGTTATATTACAAGGCTATTAGAATTACAACCAATAGCGAAAGTAGTCGTAGTAATAACCAAAACAAAAAAACAGCAAAAAAAAAAACGGCATAGTCCTTGTCGGAGCTGTGCTGAATCAGCATTTTTAAAAAAAATCGGTATCGTAATGACTATGCGGTGACTTTGATTCCATAGACTCTTCTTGCATAAGGTTCTGACCACAACAGAGGAAATGCTTGGAACGCCCCTCCCTAATTCCCCTCTTGGGTGATCTCACGCAGACCTTTGGACGTTTGCAAACGGTGGCCGATAGTTGATTCCTCTTTTATTAACAAAGCCTTCTTTCAGAATGTGAGCATTTCAGTCGATGCTATTTGTATGTTTTTTATTCATACAATAAAAAGGTCAAGCCACTTTCATTATTTTGTGACTTTTGATCACCATAGAACCACATATGACACCAGACCTGTTTGCTCAGTACGCATAAAAGAAACAAATCTGAAGGTTTTAAGTGAGATGAATGATAAAATGTTAAAATCTAACCTAGAATGTCTCCGAGAGCTTTTATAACACTATTGTTTGTTGGTATTGCGTCATTTTATTTATACAGTGATGGTTGAAAAAGCCTCAAATGTTAAAAAAAGAAAAGAAAACGCAACCATCAACTTTGTGGGACTTAAGATCAGTGTTTTATGATGATAGTCATAGACCAGATATGACTGTCTTCTCAGTGCATTAAACAAAAGAAATCAGAAGGCTTTATCAATTTCTGCCAACTTCTAAAACATTAATGTGTTTTCAACAGACCTCTTCAATAGTTACTATAAAGTTTTATTATACAGAGGATGAAGGATAAAATGTACATAACGTCCTCTTTTTGTATACTTAATAATAGCGTATTACTATTTTTGGATTGATTTTTTTTTTTAATTGTTTAAGCCTTCACATCAATTCCATGGAGAGTGTGTGTGTGTGTGTGTGTGTGTGTGTGTGTGTGTGTGTGTGTGTGTGTGTGTGTGTGTATATATGTGTGTGCGCGTGTGTGTGTGTGTGTGTGTGTGTGTGTGTGTGTGTGTGTGTGTGTGTGTGTGTGTGTGTGTGTGTGTGTTCATGTTCATGTTAATAAACGTATGTTTTTGTTTTTTAATTAGAACAACCTTTTGTATTTTTTGGAATGGCTACGAAAACTTCCTTGACGTTAAATATTAAATAAATAATCCACGACCGGCACTCATAGTAACCCAGATCAGTGTTTTCCTACCAGTTGGTGCACGTTAGTGTGCCTTGAGCGATCATCAAGCATACCACGGGACATTACTCAGTTTTACTGAACTGGTCACAAAATTATCTATTCACTACAAATGGTTTGCCTTTATTCCTATTTATATGCCAGTGGTTTATAGTGGCACACAGGACAATTAAAAGCTTCCATAAAATGCCGATAAAGGTTTTTTGTTTTTTTTTTGTGTGGTGGAGTACTGACAGTTTTTTCCTGATGTAAAAACGGGTCACTGCTCAATAACGGTTAGGAAATGGTGACGTGGATTAGGTGCTCAAAAACCTCATAACTTGAGAGCTGTAGCAACTTTCTTGCGAGCCGTTTTAATGAAAGCTGTCTGTCAAGATGGGAATATTTATTGCTTTCTCGCATTGCAGTGTGGAGGACATTCAAGAGAAAGTAATGCAGCTGAAAGCCATGAGTCATGAGTACCTGCAAAGAGCAAAGATGATCCTGCAGAGTGTGAGTACTCTCCTCGACATGAGCGCCTCGATTGCTAGAAATGAGCACAAAGCAGATTAGTGGTCAATTGGTGATTGCAATCACTGATAAAATGGCTTGTTGACATACCAATCTGGTGGGGGTGGTCGCGGGAAAAGCGGAGAATGCGGCTCGCGTTGATTTATTGCGGCTGTCCTGCCAGGGCGGACCACCGGCGGAGGCCGAGAAGATGCTGATGATGGCGTCCGATCATATGGAGCTCTTGAGGACGTATGGAATGGACCTGCAGCAAATGCGCATCCCCAACGATGTCTTCGCCAGGTAAACCAAAAAAAGTGTCTACCTTCTCTGTGCAACGAACAATTTGGACATTCTTGGTCAGGCTGAACATGTCATTCCTCTCATTTTAAACTTGCAGTGTAAACCAGCTGGAGCACATGTATGGCGGTGTCCAACAGCAACTAATAGGCACCATGACCATCAAACGGAACACGGCCAGCAGTCTGGGCGCTGCCGAAGGAGGCAGGCTCTTTAAAGACGCAATGGCCTGGATTAGCCAGCAGAAGGTAAGACATTAAAGACATCAATTGGTGTTTGGAGTGCAAATGTTGGGAAACAAAGTGTTACTTCCGCTTTAACTCTTTGAGCACCATTGTCAAGTCAGTGACGCCAGCTGTTATCAACAAAATGTTTTATGAGAACAAACAAAGAAAAGTCTCGGCCAACTCTAGTTTGATTATTAGAAAGTAAAAAATAAACAAACAAAAAACACTAACTATGGCCAGCAGATGGCAGCATTGGGTCTCTTTTGGATGAGATCACCACGTAGCAAAACAATGGCAGACCTCTGAAAATTGATTGTTATCATCAGCTTGTTATTGAGTGTCACGTTGAATCAAGTACATAGTGTCACAAAAGATGATCATTCAAATTTAGAAGTAGAAGCGAACGTGTAATGTACATAAATGCCCACACACAAATGCATGGCATGGTGCATGCACACACATGCACACACTACTAAATACTACTACAACTAAATAGCGTGCTAATGGTTTTTAAAGTTTTTCAAAATTGCTACACTGGTGAATATTTGTCAATACATTATTTTGCCATTAAATACTAACTTATTTTCCCATTTCAATTTTACAACAGTGCTAAACATTACCACAAACAAAATGGCTCTCAACACCCCAGGAAAAGTAAAAAAATAGACATATCAATGAATAAATAAGTAGACAGACCAATATGAACACATTTTAATTTTAAAAACAAATAAATCTGATCAACTACTGCCAGTCAGCTCTTCCACAAGAAATAGCTGAGTGCCTAGATTGTGGTAGCATATAAAAATAAATATTATTTTATTTTTTTTGTTACCTGTATTTATTTTCCCTTTGTTGATCCAAATTGGACAGATCTTCATTTGCAATGCCAACCTGGCCGCAGACAGCAGAGCAAAACAAAGCAAAAATAAAAGCAAATACAAAAACAGACAATAAACTGTATGATATAGTTACATTGTTGTTTCTATTTGTGATGTGCTCTGATTATTTTGGGATGATAAGACATGATTTGTTTTAGTTTAGTTTAGTTTGTTTGTGAGCGTCTGCAGGGCCTTCCCGTGCGTCAGAGATGTTCAAAGCGGTGCACAACTCCGAACATGGCGTTGTTGCAACACGTAAGACATATTCCAAGTTGCACAAGCTGCGTGGATAATTGCATGTATGAGTCTAGGAGGTGGAGGAGGAGGGTGCGCACTCTCCCTATCACTCCCACTGACCTGTTGGTAACTGAAACCATATTGACACACTGCCAAAACCTGATCCGCCGGTGAACGAGGCCGAGGAGTGCAACAATGACATGGGAAGGGGAATATGGCGGATTAGTTTGAAGGGAACGAAGCGACGTGTTTGCGAGGGGGAGGCCGAAAAAGAACAGTAACTGAGTGTGAATTGTAGCGCTTATCAGACAGATGTTGGAAGAACAGGGCAGGTCGACATGCTTATGGGAAAACGCCCTCCTGCCCTCTTCAAAACCTCACCCCATAATGCTGTTTGCTGACACTAACATAACACCTGATTTGATCTGACTGATTTTTTACTAAGACGTTTTAGTGGTGCTGGTGAAAGAGGCCGTCATGTGTGGCTTCAGCCCAGTAAGCAAGGAAGAAGGGAGTGGCGTGCGAACAAAGACTCAAAAGAGAAGAGAGAGTGGAAAAAAAAATGGGAGTAAAGTGCAGGGACAGGCAGAGGTTGTTCTTATCAAAAGACCAGAGCTGAACAAAGAGGGGCATAGTTGGAATAGTTTCCTGCTTGCAACTGGATGTTAAGATGGGTTGGCCATAGACTGCCACCTAGAGGACAAAAGGGAGAAGGCTACAGTTTGGAGAAATTCATGAGGTATATTTGTACAATGCGATGCAATGAAAGTTAAAGTTTACAGATTTTACATCTATATATATATAAATAAATAAATCTATATAAAATGTAGACACACGCACACACACATGCACATTCACAAACTTATTAACGTTATTCTTAAACTTGCAGCGCATGATTCAGACGGCTCCTTGGGGGGAAGACTCGGCCACCATTGAAAAACAAATCATGAGCCACAACAAATTCCACAGCACCATTCAAAGGAGCCAGGAAGTAGACCGTGCCCGGGACGAACTGGTACGTAGCCTTGGTCTGCTTCACTCTTCTGTGACCTTTTTTTTTTGTCTGTCTTTTGAAGCGCCTCTTAACCGAGGTCATTCGTAACAATAAATAAAAAAAAGGACTTGTGTTTAGGGCATGAGGGGTGACAAGTCCAACCTTTACATCATGGAACAAGAATGGGACAGTCTGCAGGTAGAAAGAAAATCTTTGATAAGCAAAAGTGCTCTGGAGTTTTGGGGAATCGATTGAATTGATTTACTGTGTGTTTCATTGCAGAAAATGTCACACAACCGAGTGAATCAGCTGCGCGAGCTGCAAAGCATCATTGAGGAAATCTCTCGCGCGATCATGTGGGTGAACGAGAAGGAGGAAGAGGAACTGGTCTTTGACTGGGGAGACAAAAACATCGAGCAGTACATCCCCAAGAAGCAAGAGAGCTACTCTGTAAGTTTTGCTCTCTTGCCGCTTCCCCTACTTGGTGGACCGTTGGGACATGACACCTCTATCCTCTTCTTCACACAGAGGCTGATGAAAGATCTGGAAGAGAAAGAGAAGGAGCTGAACAAGCTGAAGGTGAAAGCAGACGGCCTCCTGAGCAACAACCACCCAGCCTCGGATAAGATTGAAGTGAGTTTTTTTTCCGGCTTCCGGATCCCTCTGTACTTTCTCTCATGTGTGGGTCAGTGAGGCACTGCCAAGGAAACAATATGACAGCACGTGTGACTGAGTATGACGTCTTTTATATAATTGGGGGTACAAAATAGGCCTTGGAAGTTCTAATTTTATCTGTTGTGAGTGTAGTCCATGCTGGATCCTGTTGATAGATGGTTTCTGTGTGTATCTGCCCTCAGGCCTACATGGATACCTTGCAGACCCAGTGGAGCTGGCTTCTCCAGATCACCAAGTGTATTCACATTCATTTGAAGGAGAATGCAGCCTACAGCCAAGTAAAATAGCACTTGACTCGTTTAATCGTATATGGTCAAAACTGACGGGAGATGCTAAAAACGTGTTTTTTAAAAATCTCCTGCTTAGTTTTTCAAAGAGGCGAATGAGACCTATGAGAAGTTGAAAAAGGACCGCGAGAACATCCAGACCAAGTTCAAGTGCAACAAAAACACCCCACTGGAAAACCTTGTGGAGCTCCTGAAACTCTTGGAGGTACTAATGTGCACATACCAAATTCCTTTGGGACATATTCCATGTCAAAACAACATGATTTTGAATACTTGTTTCTCTGGTTTGTGATTTAAAATATTTTTTTTTTGGGTGGGATGCACCAAACACACTTCTGACTGCCTATAGAAAGAGAAGGAACGAATCATGGAGAATAAGAGACAGGTTCAAAGCCTGGTCAACAAGTCCAAGACTATTGTGAGGCTGAAGCCCCGCAACCCAGAGGAACCGACAGCAACCAACAACCCCATCATGGTCCAGGCATTGTGTGACTTCAAGCAGGACCAGGTGGGTCCTCGAAGGGCAATGAACCATATTTGGGAACTTAAGTGGCTGTTCGACACAGACCCTGACCACCTTACATGTGATTCTATCCAAAACAATCAGCAAATCTTGAGTGCAAAAATAACAAGTATTTCAGTCATTATGTCATTGTATGACAGTACAATGACAAAATAAAGAGCAATCTGGAAAGCCCTCGTCAAGACTTTTAATTTGCAGTATGTCTTCGATGTGGTTTGTTGCAAATTGATTTTTTTTTTTTTTAGAAAGGGATCCTCAAAGGGAATGAGGGCATACTGAAAGACAACACGCAGCGCAGCAAGTGGCTCGTGACTGGCCCAGGAGGTCTGGACATGTTGATTCCCTCCGTGTGTCTGCTGATCCCCCCGCCGAATCCCCTCAGCATCGGCCTGGCCAACAAGTAAGATCAGTCTCTAACAAATGCACATTGACATCAATTTCAGTTGCCAGCAGTCGTCAGCACAGGGCAAAATAGGCAGCCCCCTGAGATGGGTAGAACATAGAACATTCATTGCCAAGAAAATTCTGGCTTGACTTGCGCTTGTTCAAGCGCATGTTTACTGCCTTGGTATTGTAGTCGTCGTGTCTGTTCTTATGCTTCAAACGTGGTTGTTCCCTAAGGAATGAGCAATATTATGAGGCCATCCTGGCTATATGGAATCAGCTGTACATTAACATCAAGAGCCTCATCTCGTGGCAGTACTGCCTCAAGGACATCAACTACATCAACTCTCTCACATTCTCCATGGTAACGGATTACAACCTTGACGCCACTCGAACAATTAGGCAGATTTTTGCTCACCTCCTGTGTCGTCGTTTGCCTGGCAGATATCGAAAATGCGCCCCGAGGAGTACCGTAGCATCATCAAAAGACTGGAGACCCACTACCAAGAGTTTCTGCGTACCAGTCAAGGTTGTGACCTTTTCGGGGAAGAGGATAAACTCACCATCCAGGGCCACTTTGATCAAGCCCAGAACCATTATGATACCCTGGTTGTCCAGCTGACCGGCTACAGTGAGTTGTCTAGTTCGACATCAATGACCTACAGCTTGATTTGATTTGATTATAACTAACATCACTATTTCTTCTTCTTTTGCATTTGAAGAGGAGGATAAGGAGCCAAGCAAACCCGCGCCTCCCAAAATCCAGGCCCTCAGCATCTTGCTGCTCAATAGTCTGCAGGAGCTCCGAAGGAGGCTGGAGCTGGCCGAGACCGGACTCACCGGCCATCTGCACGTTTGCTCGGGGGAAAACAGCCTGCAAGAGTGCTTAGTGCACATCGAAAAACTGCAGGTATGGCAAGAATCACTTTGTAGGTAAATGGCAAAATTGCAAGCACTTGAAAATGCTGGAGCAGAGCGATAGCCAAGGGCTTAGCATTTCTGCCTCACAGTTTTGAGGTTGTGGTTTCAATCTCGGGTCTGGCCGTTTGAATCTGGCTCTTTGGAGTTGATATGTTCTCCTGTGTGGCTTTTCCCTGCATATGGGAGTAAATTTGTAAAGACAGTTAACCACTGTAAGTCACTCACTCAAAGCAATAAGCATTGCTTTGCTGCCATCTTATTGCAACTTGATGCCAAGGAACGAGGAATGAGCTGATGAGCTTAATTTCGACAAAAAGTACTGCTTTGCTGCGATCTTATTCCATCTCGGTGCCAAGGAACTATGTTGAAGTGAGCTGAGCACTTTGTGGCATCTATAGGCTCTAGACCAGTGGTGGCTAAGTCGGTACTCGAGAGCCCATGTCCAGTTTCAGATGTCTCCCTGCTCCAACACACTTGATTCCAATGATCAGTATCGTTATCAGGCTTCTGAAAAGCTTGCTGATGAGCTGATCATTGGAATCAGGCTTAAACAGGCTGGATAGGGGTTCTACATGACTGGACTTAGGCACCCCTCCTCGAGACTCTAAATTGTCCACAGTTGTGAATGCGAGTTTGAGTGCTCGTTTGTTTGTTTGTTTGTTTATTGAACATATATAAAACATACAATAACAGATTGACAAAATGCAAACAAAAATTATGAAAGGAAAAATAAAAGTAAGTAATACAAACACCATCACAGTTATATGTTCAAAGGAGTAGGGAGAAGTATACAACTTATCTAGTCCTACCCCTTGTTGTGCAATAATGTGTATTGATCATTTTCCAATACCAAAGAAAAGGAAGAAATCTACATATCATCAAATACTTTTACCCTTTTGTGTACTGTACTTATCTATTTATACACCTTTCGGTTTGTATATATATAATTGTTCTTTCTACTTTTTATATCAAATGACTCATATTCATTATATATACTGCATTTCTTGAATACATTCAATTAGTTGTTCAAGTTTGTCTATATCAAGGATGGGCAACTGGCTCGGAAGTCTGTGTTCCTTTGTAACCGAGTACCACTGATTAAAAAGTGTGGCCCCCTGCAGCATTTAAGTTGCCCATCGCTGGTCTATATGTATCGTATGATCGCCTGATGACCAGTCACGGGTGTACTCTGCGACTATCAGGATAAGCGCCATAGAAAATGACAATGATGGATTTAATGTGCCCTACTATGTTCATGTCCAGTTGGTGCACCAAGATCTGGACTCCATTCACGATGAATACCTGCGCCTCAGAGAGAAGATTCTAAAGCAGCTGGAAGGGATCCCTCCCGACTCAGAGCAAGCTAAGTTCCTGCGCTCAGAGCTGGAAATCATCAGCCAGAAACTGGGGGGTCTGCAGGGTCTCTACTCGGCTTACATCCAGAGGTACGCTTTCATCCTGGAAAAAGAAATACAACAAAAAGGACGCATTCACTTCAGTGCTGTTTAAATCGATGATGTCATGTGATTGCCAACAGAGTGTCAGCGCTGAAGTCCTTGCTTGAGACTCTTCTCCAGGTTGAAGATGTTGTCAAAGTCCATGAGGCCCGCCTGACGGAAAAAGAAACCACCTCACTGGACCCGCGAGAACTGGACAACTACCAGAGCACTCTGAAGGTTTTTACACATTTTGACTTCCTTACCTTCTTTGACCAGAAGAGCAAAAACAGGTTCATAACCATGCATTTAATTTTGGCCCCTTTCATGTCACAAAAATCACCTTGCAGGGTTACAAGAACAATATAAAATGAAGTATTGTATGATGAGCAATAGAAAACAGTCAAACAGGAGCGGGAGGAATTTCAATAAAAATGCACCATCTGGAAAGAAGAATTGGACACAGCACAATAAATTCAAAGAAGAAGGCTAAAAGGAAAGTGTGTGCTGTGTCACAGGTGGTTTGCACATGGAATATTAGCGAGGCATTGTGAAATCGGTTGTAAAACCTGTGTCTGTTTGAATCTGTTGTTAGAAATGTAATTTCAACAAGAAATCTATTCAATTACATTTTCCGATATTTCAAATGATGTCAGATTATTATTCATTTACTTCAAAGCAAATGAAAATCGAGCTGGAGCACAAAAAAGACCTGCTGACCGCGATGGAGTCGGAGCTAGCCAAAGCGGTTCAATGGAACGGTCAAGTCTCGGAGTCCTTCCACAGGTGCGACGTGGACTTGTCCAAATACGCAGAACTGGTGGGTCAACTGTCTGACCGCTGGCGCCGCATCCAAACCCAAATCGATACCAGGTTAGTACACCATCACATTTTATTTTTGTTTGGCTTCTTGTAAGGAGGCTCAAAAACATCCCTTCATCCTTCCTCCTCCCACGCTTTCCTCTTTCAGATTGTGGGATCTGGAGAAGCATGAGAAGCAGCTGAAAAATTACCAGCAGAACAGCACTTCCATCGACCAGTGGATAAACAATGCCCGGAAGCGCCAGGACGGCCTTCAGAATGTTAAACTCACTAACATCCAGATGGTCATGGACTACCTCAACCAGCAGAAGGCATGTTTCCACCCCTGCTTCCTTCTTTACATTCGTCTATAGTCCCCAAAATGGAAAAGTCTCATTTAACTGAATGACCTCTCCGTAGATACTTCACGGTGAAATCAAAGGAAAGAAAGACAAGGTGGAGGATGTCCAGAAAGATGCAGACACCTGTGCTGCCTCCATTAAGGTTGGTCAGGCTTCAAATGTGTGCTCTTAAAGACAAAAAAAAAAAGATTCGTAGGCTACTAGATGAATCCTTCCCCTCTCTTCTGACTGTGTGTCGTGTTTTCAGGACTATGAGTTGCAGCTCGCTTCCTACAGTTCCGGCCTGGAAACGCTCCTGAATATTCCGATCAAGAGAACCATGCTGAAGTCGCCCGCTACTGTTATAAGACAGGAGGTATTCATCATGTTTTAGTTGTTAAGTCACCACACTCCACACTGGTCGCTTCATTAAGTGCATGATGATAATGAGATTCAATAGTTGTATCACAAATCTGGCTTTAGAAAGATATTACAAATGAAGGATTCAAATTTTGTTGTTGGTTTACACTGGTGTAAAACTGCCATATACAATGGTACCTCTACTTCCGAAATTAATTGGTTCTGGAAGAAATTTCCAAACTAGAAAACTTTGTAAGTCGAGATGCGTTTTCCATGTAAATGCCCGATTCCGTTCCAACCCCCCCCCGCCCCCAAATTCCGACATAAATGTTTTCTAAAGCATAAAAATGCATCAACATATGTAACAAAAACATGTTACAATTAGATTATTGCATAATAAATGAGAGTTGTGCACAAAACAAAGAATAGATTAAAGACTAAAAATGGTGGTCATTTAACTTTTAACTGCGTCCTCATCGTTTTTTGCCCTCTTTAGTTCATGTTCTCTCTCAGAAGTGGTTTTTGTAAAGAACTGATCCGAGGACATTTGGTTTTGTCGGCTTTTACCAATCCTTCGAATGTCCAAGGCAAACATCAGCATAGTGAGCGATCGCTGGACTGGTGAACACTTTTTCTGGGTGATTCACATTTACGTAAAACTATCGGAATGCCTCATGGCCCGCAGGGGCGAATGGTGAGGATGCCGCAGAGACGCATATCTATCTATATATCTAGCTACACACAGGCGCATTCGGTAGAGGTCCCTCTTTGCCAATGGGATGCCAGGAAGATGCCAGGTAATATCCAATGGCTGAGCAGCTATAAGTATGTTGCGTTCAGGAAACTCAGAGTTGCGATTAGCAGCCCATACTGTATTTTTACCTTTCGTATCTTGAAATTTCTTTCGTAACAAGAGGCAATATTTTCCTGTTGAGGCGTTTCGTAACTTGAAAATTTCATATGAAGAGACGTTCGAAAGTAGAGGTACCACCGTATCATACTCAGAGCTGTGTCTGGTTTTTTTAAATCTTCTGTTATTTCACATAACTATATATTTTAAATGTCCTTTTCTAGTTGTATTATTAATTATAATTCACAGTTCTATAGTTCATTAATACAAATATTTACTGGGAATACAACTTTAACTAGGTTAATTATACACTACGTTGTGTTACCGTTTATGTACATACGCTGGCTAAATCATCACCATAGGAAGGGATTTCCCTTCATAAACCAAGGACACCCTGTAATCCTGTGTTTTCAATAAACGTCCACAAAATAGGTGTATAGTACAATACTACTGGAAAATTGATTCTGGATTTCTGTCTGCCATCAGGCGTCGGACATCCAATCCCAGTACATCGAGCTCCTCACTCGCTCAGGTGACTACTACAAGTTTCTTGGGGAGTTGCTGAAGAACATGGAAGAGCTGAAGGTAACTTTCAGGACTTTTTAGTACTTGGTATGCTGGATGACCGAAGACAAATTATCAAGCCTATCTAAACGAGTTTTCTCTCTTCAGATTAGGAACACCAAGATTGAGCTGCTGGAAGAGGAAATTAGACGCCTCAAAGAACAGCTTGGGGATAGTGGCGGGAAAAATAAGTCTCTGGAAGATGCGTTGGCCCGCCTCAAGCTGGAGCTCAGCCAGTCAAAAGACCAGCTCATTTCACTGGAGGAAGTCAAGAGAACCACATCCATTCAAGTATCTGCCGCCAAGGAGAGCCTGGAAGGTACCCACAGCCAGATCCAAGAGCTGACTGACCAGCTCAACCGCATTAAGTACCAACTGGAGGAAGAAAAGAGGAAAAAAAGGCTGGCCGAAGAGCGCTACACTAGCCAACAAGAAGAATATGAGGCGGCCGTTCGCCGCAGACAGAAAGAGCTGGATGAGCTTAACTGGCTCAAGATTGACTTGGAAAAGACTGTCAATGACAAGGAACGTGAGATGGAGAGGCTGAAGATACTGCTGGAGGAGGAGGCGGCACGTCGCCGCAGTGCCGAGTCAGATATTTCAAAGGTAAGAACACAGTGCACCCAGGAGCTCAATCAACTTAAGCAAACGTACGAGACCCAGATCCACGTCACCAAGACCACTGTCCTGAAAGCCTCGCAGCAGAAGGAAGAGGACTCAGCCGAACTGAGGCGGCAGTATGAGAAGCTCACAGGAGAGAAGAGAGATCTCGAAGATGAGCTCCGTAGACTCAAACTCTCCATTGCCCACGCCGAAGAGCAAAAAAACAGAGCGGAGATGGAGACTAACCAGCAGAGGTCATCACTGACCCAAGAGACAAGGATGCGGAGTGAGCTGGAAGTGCAAATCAGGAAGTTCACGCAGCAGAGAGATGACGATGAGCTCAAACTAAAGGAGGCCACCAAAAATATTCAAGAAAAAGGTCGTCAGATCAGTATGCTTACACGTGACATCGAAGAAGAAATGAAGAAGAGGAGGGCCTTGGAATTGGAAATCAGTCTCCTGAAACAGTCTGAGGGAGAGCTAAAGGCGACCAACGCCTCCTGTCTGGAGACAATTAACAAGCTTAAACTGTCTGAGAAGGAAATCCGCATCACCCGAGTGGAGCTGGAGAAGCAGACCAGTGACCGCAATAAGGCAGAGCAGAGTGCTGTGAGGCTCCAGAGCCACATCCGGGAACTCCAATGCGCCCTGGATGCCATGGGAGCCGATATGGAGAAGCAAAAGAAGGCAACCCAAGACGAGCTCACACGCAGGAAGAGGCTGGAGTCGGAGTTAGAGAGGGTGACACAGACATGCAAAGAGTACACCACCACGATCACAAGCCTCAAGTCGATTCAGGTCGAGGCTTCCAACTCTGAAAGAAAGTACGGACAGGATCTCAGAGCTCTTCAGGATGCTCTGGATAAGAGCCACAGGGAGCACAAACTCACCAAAGATGAACTGGCAGCTGTGATCGCTGAACTGAAGACATTGAAACAGAAGCTCCACCATGATCAACTCCAGATTGTGGAGTTCAACCAGCGAAATGAAAGTCTGTACAAAACCATCGAGGACAAGAGCCGCCACCTCAACGAATGCACCGTTGAAATCGAACGTCTGAAGGCTCAGGCTCAGAACCTGACAAAGGAGAAATTGATGCGGGAGGAGGAGCTGAGGGTCCTTATGCAGGAGAGGGATCAGTTGATGATGAGCAGGGATGCTGTTGATGGGGAAAATGCATCTCAGATTGCAGCCTTGCATGTCCAACTTCAGAGTAGCAACAAGAGGACAGCGGAGCTCCAGGCTCTCGTCAACGACCTGACCAAGGAGAGAGAAAAGCTTATGGTCGAAATAGACAAATTCCAAAAGCAGTCTTTTGAGGTATTTTTGATTGCACTGAAGGAACGCCTCTGCATAATTCCACTTTTTTTTTTTCTGCTTTTGCATGAACAATTGTGGAGTCTTAAGACTCAACACAAAGCATTTATGTATGCAACATTGCCAAACACAAGATGGTGTGTTTAAGGAGTGTAGTCATAAATTTCCGCTGCTGCTCCAATCTGCATGTGCTTATAACCATAACCAACCACAGATCTTAACTCATTATCACTATGTACTAATTCAATCAATCCATCCATCAAACTTTATTTATATAGCACTTTTCATACATAAATTGGATGTATGTAATTGTTTATGCAGAGTTAAAGTATGACAGTGGACCCACTTAACGCAACCAGAATCCATTCCAGTAGTTTGTTCATTTTGCTCAGATGAATTTTCCTTGTAGGAAAAAAAACTGGAGTAGAATTAATGAGAAATATATTTTTTAAAATTTTATTATTTTGTAATGTATTTTACTTTGACTGTGTTTTCCTTAAAATTTTAGGTTGAATCAGTCAATCACTGAGTTCTGAGAGTCCACTGTCCACGTAGATCGCGTCGCTACTTGTTCTTGGGCAAGCGCCCTTCAATCACTGAGTTCTGAGAGTCCACTGTATGTGGAGATCGTGTAGCTACTTGGTTTTGGGCAACCTTCCTTCACATGTTTTAATCTTGCATTTGCTCATATCTCCACAGACATCCATCATGGTGCATGAGTCTCAAAGCAAGTACAGTGAAGTGCTGCTGGAGAGGGATGATTTGCTCTCAAAGCTTAAATTGCTGGACCAGGACAAACACCGGCAAAAGCGCCTTGAAGATGAACTGGCCCGTATCAAACACTCCCTGGAGACTGAGCTTCGCAACAAGCAACGCTTAATTGACGAGAAAAACACAGTTATCAAGGATTTCACCCTTTTGAAGAGCCAGTACGAGCTGAAGGAAACCCAGCTCAGGCAGTGGGAATCAGACAGGTCCAAGACAGATCAAGATAGGTTGAGTCTAAAGAATGAGATTGAGAGGTTGATGAGAGAGCTTCGACTTGTTGAGGAACGTTACAAGAGCAGGTTGTTGAGCTCTGAGAAGGAGGTGACAGAGCTAGGTCTCAAGAGAGATGCACTGCAGAGAGAGATTGAGAGGTTGCAGAGAAGGCCAAGCACGTCAAACAGACAGACCCAGACGGATATGAAGGTTGCCACAATTGACCCTTCGAAGCTTGTATTTGACGGGGTGCGTCGCAAAGTCACAGCCCACCAGCTTTGTGACTGTGGTATCATCAGCAAGTCGACTCTAGAGCTGCTGCTGCAGGGGAAAAAGACAGTGGATGAGGTCGCCGTTGAGATCCAAGTGAATCTCAAGGGCACAGGCATTATTGCTGGTATGATGGCAGGTTCTCAAGGCAAAATGGCCTTCACTGAAGCAAAAAATAGAAATTTCCTTAGCCCAGAGAGCGCACTTATGTTGTTAGAGGCTCAGGCGGCAACAGGCTACATATCAGACCCTGCTTTTAATGACAAGATGCCTGTGGACACCGCTTGTTCCAGGGGGATTGTGGACACAGAAGACAGAGACGTCTTAGTGAAAGCTGAAGCTGCGAGTGTTGGTTTCAAAGATCCCTACACGGGTAAAGTGTTGTCTGTGGGCCAGGCTTGCAAACAAGGCCGAATCGACAAGGAGACAGCACTCCGTTTGCTGCAGGCTCAGGAGTCTGTTGGGGGGATATTGGACCCCGTTCTGAGTGTGTTCCTGCCAAAAGATTTGGCCCTAGATCGCAATCTAATTGATGAGGACCTCTACAGAGCTTTGAACAGAAGACCCGCATGCTACCTGGATCCCACAACAGGAGAAAAGATAAGCTATAGTGACCTTAGAAGAAAGTGTATGGTGGAACCTGTCCATGGTTTACTTTTGCTTCATGGCCCAGACAAACCCATGACGGTAAAGGGGCTCCGCGGGGAAGTTTCTGTGACAGAGCTTATCAATTCTGAATTGCTTGATGAAACTGATTTGCAGAGGCTTAGAGAAGGGCGGATCACGAGCAAAGATATTGAGGATAAGCTGAGGTCTTACCTCTACGGATCTACCTGTATTGCAGGGATCTATGATGAGGTCAATGACAGAATATGGCCCTTTTACCAGGCAATGAAGGGAGGTTTGCTCATGAGGGGAACCACCTTGGAGCTTCTTGAAGCCCAAGCTGCCTCTGGCTTCATTGTTGACCCAGTGAACAACATCTTCTTGACAGTAGAAGAGGCCACACTGCGAGGCCTGGTAGGAAAAGAATTTAAGAATAAGTTGCTATCTGCAGAAAGGGCGGTGACTGGATACACTGACCCTGCCACAGGAAAGACCATCTCCCTTTTCCAGGCCATTGAGAAAGATCTTATTGAGAAAGGCCATGGAATCCGTCTGCTCGAGGCTCAGATTGCTAGCGGCGGGATAATTGACCCAAAAGAGAGCCATCGTATTGACGTTTCCGTTGCTTATAAACGAGGATATTTTGATGAGGAGATGAATGAGATCCTCACCTACGAAGGGGATGACACAAAAGGGTTCTTTGACCCAAACACAAAGGAGAACCTAACCTATCTTCAGCTAAAGAAGAGGTGCATCACAGATGCCAAGACCGGCCTTGTACTCCTGCCTCTTAAAGACAAGAAAAAAGCACAGGCATTACAAGAGAGCCGAAGTAATGTCCTCCGCAAGAGGCGGGTGGTGATTGTTGATCCAGACACTAACCTGGAGATGTCAGTGAGAGAGGCCTATCATCGTGAGTTAATCGACTATGACACCTTTCTAGATTTGTCAGAACAGGAGTGTGAGTGGGAAGAAATCACTATCAAAGGATCAGACGGCTCAACACGCTTGGTTATAGTAGACAGAAAGACGGGGACGCAATATGACATTCAGGACTGCATGGAGCGTGGTATTATTGACCAGAAGTCCCTGGATCAGTATCGGTCCGGAACCTTAACCTTGACACAGTTTGCCGACCACATTTCCAGCAAGAGCAGCAGCACCGAGATGACAATCTCAGCCAGCAGTGCCGAAGACGTGATTACCTGCAGTAGTCCCACCCAGGCTGCACCGTCCTCTCCCACCGTTCGTAAACGCTTCAACAGTATTTCCATTACAGTCTCTCCCCCAGAGCTTTTTGATGACCAGAGCCCAGTGGGAGCCATATTCGACACCGAGACTTTGGAGAAGATAACCATTCCTGAAGCACACAGGAGAGGAATATTGGATACCATCACAGCACAGAGACTGTTGGAGGCCCAAGCGAGCACCGGAGGAATTATCAACCCCGCAACTGGGCAGAGACTAACACTGCAGGATGCTGTCCATCAGTGTGTGATTGAAGAAGCCATGGCTGGCAAGCTGAAGGCCGCGCAGAAAGCCTATCTTGGTTTTGAGGATGTGAAGACAAAGAGAAGGATGTCCGCGGCAGAGGCAGTGAAGGAGACGTGGCTACCTTACGAGGCCGGGCAGAGGTTCCTGGAGTTTCAGTACCTGACTGGAGGCCTGATCGAACCCAGCAGTGGAAAACGCATTACCATTGAGGAGGCCATTCGCAAAGGTTGGCTGGATGGCCTTGGGGCACAGAAACTTCAGGATACCCGCAACTATCCGAAAAACTTGACCTGTCCCAAGACAAAGCTGAAGATCTCCTACAAGGAAGCCATGGATAGCTGCATGGTCGAAGAGAGTAACGGTATGAAGATGCTGCAGGCTTCGTCTGTGTCATCAAAGGGACTCAGCAGCCCTTACAATGTCTCCAACCCAGGATCTCGGTCTGGGTCCAAGCCGAGCTCCAGAAGCGGGTCTCGGAGAGGCAGTGTGGATTATTCATCTACGTACTCCTACAGCTTCTCATCCAACAACACAAGTGCCAACTATTAATTCAACATCTTGTCATTACTAGAAGTATAGATTTTTATTAACTATTTTACAGTTTAACATTTTTAAAGGTCTTGCTGGCATATATGAGAATTTGGGATGTTTAAGAATTGGATATGAATTTGTTCGTGGATGAGTGTTTGGATCTGGTGTTTTCTTTTCTTTTTTTTTGAACTTACGCTAACTATAATTCACAGCCTTGCATACCTGAATATATTCGGAACAACCCATTTTAATATACTTTTTTTAGGAGTGGTCTTTTTTTGAAAATGCTTATTCAACTTAGTTTCTGTACTTCTTGCCATTTTTGATATTTTTGTTGTAGCTTGTCTTTTTATGTGCTTTATTCTTAAGCAGGAAAAAAAGCTCAATTTAAATGTTTTTATGCATTTACTTTGTAAACACTGACTTGAGTAAAGTACTGATCAGCTGTAAAAATACTACGGCCACTTAACACTACTTAAAAATGATTGAAAAAAAAATAAAGGCTTGATTTCCATGTTTTGATTCTGTTTTGTGTATTAATTTACTAAATTGATATTTATGGAGGGAAAAAAGGAGGTACTGTAGTCTATTTACAAGCGAGTAGTATCGATTCTTACCACAAGGTGGCGCCAATTTTCACTTAAAAAATAAGATCTCGACATTTTGGGTGGGAGCAAGTAAAAGAAAATAAAACCTTAGAGGTTGTACTAAATCCTATGCTATTTTAAAATAATTGGAACACAATGCAGATTTTAACGAATTTAAAACTTGTTAAAACTCATAATACAGGTACACCTCAACAAATTTGAATTCGATGGCAAACGGGATTTATTTTTATAGTTCAATCCAAAAAGAGAAGCTCTCTATAAATTCACTATACGCAGATTGATTTTTCATGATATAGCAAAATTATGTTTTCACTGAGGAAAATGTAAATTCATAATCCTAAATCCCTATTTTTCGTTTAAATTGATTCATTTTGAAAATGAGAACAAAATTGGACGAACTAGTCAATTTGATTAAATTCAGTCACTGTCGTTCTTCGTAATTACATAGCGCAAGGAAACATAACAGATATATAAAAATAATCACATGAATAAGCGTCTACAATTAAACATAAGTCGATAAAAATATTAATTGGTTTAGATGGGTAATACCGCATAAGGCACGTGTTACACGACGTGCTATCATGAGAGCACGGTCATTCATAAAGTATCAATTCATTTCCAGCCTGGTCTCCACATTGGAGGATTTAGGAATGGGGGAAGGCGGCGGCGTCCTGTTGGGAGGGTGTCTGGAGGAAATATGCGTGTGAACAAACGGACAGAGGTTGGGGGAGGAGGCTGGGAGGGGGCAGGCCTGGATTGGGAGGCGCGGGGAACCGGAGGAAGACGTCCCCATCCGAGCAGTGGGAGGACCATCCTCATGCCAGGACTTGCTGCTTCTGCAGCGCGCAGCTTCGACTGGAGGAAAGTGCGCCGAGGTAACGAGTGGCGGCTTCAGCGTCACTCCGCAAGGATCTCCCCTCAACGCCCTTTTCAATCTTGAATTCCCTCCCGATCGTCCAGAAGCGAGGCTGTAATGAGTGAGCTGCATGACGGGCTGAGGGTTCTGTGACCTCACCTTCGCCACTTTCTCAGCCCTTTCTGCACCTCTGACTGACTAAGAGGGGGAGGCAAAGCAGGACTCACAAAAAGTGCTTCCACGCAGTCTGCAAAGGTAAGGCTGAACTTTCCTCTTGTTTCTTCGCCTTTACACAGTCAATCATTACCAGCTGCAGGGAGGATTTGAACCTCTGCCTGCTCACAAGGTAATAGTGGAGCACAGTGGATCTTTTTTTTTTGCCGCCACCCCACAAACTCATTTTATTGGGCTTGCAAAAGCAAAACAGAAAGTTTCACACAGTATTTACGTTGGACCTGCGTCCTACACTCACTCGATTGTGTGTGTGTGTGTGTGTGTGTGTGTGTGTGTGTGTGTGTGTGTGTGTGTGTGTGTGTGTGTGTGTGTGTGTGTGTGTGTGTGTGCGCGCGTGTGTTCGTCCACAACTTTCAACAGGAGTCTGAGGACAGAGAAAGGAGTCATTCAAACTGAACACACTATGTGAAAGTCTTTTTTTTTGTACTTGTTATTGCAAGTTATGCCGTCAACATGACCTGTTAAAGCAGTGGTGGGAAACCTAAGGCTCGTGGGTCATATACAAGCCCTTGGGATTTCGATGTTATAATACGAAAAGCACATCAAATCTACACTGCAAAAAAAAAAGTTGGGTGAACTCAAAATTTCAAGGTGACAAACTTTAAAACTAACATTTTAAATTAGGCAGTTTCACTAAATATTTTAAGTTATGTTGTTGTGAAAATTGGCTTTCCTGCATTTCAGAAGTTTGCAGAACTTAAAAAAATACGAGGAGAAAACAACTTGCTTACTTAGTTAAACTAACAACATTCCCATAAATGTCAATAACTTTTATTTTAAAAAGACCAGATGTGGTTTTTATGATTTATCACAGAAACTGTTACAAAAAGCCTCAAAATATCAAACGATCAAATTTTCAAAACATATTTTTTTAAGTTGCTGCATTACATTTTTTTCTCCTGGTACATTTTGCATTGCTTCCGAAAACTGAAAAAAAAAATGTGTTTGAAGACATAATAGAGTGGAAATAGACATCGGTTAGTTTGGCGAAGGTTCTCTGCTCCGTTTCCATTCTCAGCCGTCATCTTTTTTCATAGCAGTATAACTTGTACTAAAACTGAAGTAAAAGATTCCCCATGGCAGTGTTAAAGTGTGTTCCTCCATGACTTTTGCGATGGTTCCTGGCTTTGGTGTGATATGGCGCTGCTCATAATGTGAAACACATGCTGCCATTATTGTGGATGACTTTAGCCGGGAGTCTTTTCCGAGCACCAAAAAAGGAACAAGGCTCTCTTTTTTTGTGTGTGTGAGTGTCAGTGTTTACTCGGATCTATTGGTAGATTGTCTTTGGAGCACACATCCGCTATGTTGTAAGAGCAGCCTTGGAGTGGCCATCATTTTGACGCCATATACCAGCCCACTTCCATCATAAGAGCATTGGCGGCGGCAATCCTCTCCTCTTCACCTCGAGTTTATCACTCGTTGGCCTTTCCCTGCACGGAAGGTCAATTGACCCACATGCTTCCATCTACACCCTCCTCGCGCATCATTCTTCTAAGGCAGCCCTCTTTCAACATGAAGTACACGCCCGGCAAAATGGGATAAACACTTTTGAAACTGCCAATTATGGCTTTTGTTGCTGGTTTTGTTTGGAAGTCGGAGAAATGTGAACGGTGCATGTCCACAAAAGGTAAACAAATGTGTCGAACAAGCACATCCCTTATTTTGTGATGAGGCAACGTGCGTTCGGCAAAGGGAGTTGCCGCCACTTGGCTGCCATGTGTAAGCCATTAAAGTGAGAGGAAGGACCAAGAAATGCTTGAGATGAACATAGAGTGAGAGTGGGAATGAAATCCATTTTGGGACACATTCCACCATGACCTTGGGATAGGAACGGATAATGAGGGAGTACTTTAACAGCCTTCAGGCTGCTTTTTTTTTTTTTCTCCCAGAGTGAGGCCCGTGTTGTTTTCCTTCCCTTCTGTTCATGTAAAAGTGTGACAAATACATGTTAGCCTTCTAGCGTTACCCTATAAACTTGCTAAAAATATCAACTCCAAATCTGTGGCTTTTTTTTTTTTTTTTTTTTTTTTACAGTTTTGTTTTTTCTCAAATGGGTGTCATAGCCACAGTGTGAGCCTGCCTGAAGACACGACAGGAAAAGGCAGGACCTAATTCTGGCCTTATGATGATTCTATTATGTCACCGTGAACATGTTTTCCTGCAGTTTGAGGCAAAGGCTCCTGCCAAGTATGAAGAAATTTAGATGAGCGATGGTATCACTGCCGGTATTTGATTTGAACCAACAGGAGTCAAGAAACTCTAGTAGGGTTTGATCATGTGGAACAATGATCATGCGATGATGTGTGTGTGTTTTTTTTAATGCTTGTTTGTTTTTTTGGGTGTTGGGTACAAACCGTTGTTGTGGTTGTCATGTTGAAGCCTAACAAATGTTTTGGGGGTTTAAACTGACCATGCTGTCGCCATAATTCAGTCGAAAAAGAGCTAACTGATTCGATTGCCTGGAATGGATTGATGATGACTGTAAATTGGAAACAAAATGGCTTCATCCATGTTAAGACAAACTGCACCAGGTAGCAGTTTTGTCTTAACACAACACTTATTCATTTTTTTGTATCACAGCTTATTTAAGTGGCTATTTGATTTAAACTCTTGTACCACTGGAATGTACACAAAAAGCGATTTCAACCATCATTAGGCCGACTGATTTTGTCAACGTGAGCAAGATACTCCAGGAAAAACAAAGGTGTTTTGACTGACCTTCTAGTGAATGGTGAACTCGAGATAAACATGACATGACTGACGCTCTATGACAGGGGTAGGGAATGTCGGTTCCTCAAGAGCCATATCGTGCCTTTTTTGGATGCCCTCCCGACTCCAACACACCTGATTCAATTGTTCATGATTGTTTCAGGGCTCTGCAAAGCTTGCTGATGAGATGATGTCTGTCATGGTACCAAGACTGACCTGTCACCTGTGTGACCTGTGCCACAGGGCAACCAGACTGTTGTGCTCTGCAACTGACTGGCGACCGGTTCAGGGTGTAGTCTGCCTTCTGTCTGAAGTCAGCTGGGATAACCTCCGGCAACTCTCCACGGCCCTGTTTGGGATAAGCAATGTTGAAAATGGATGGATGGACAATAGAGGAGGGTCTAGGCAGAATCCCATACATGCGGGTCATGGTATTCCGCAAACTGAATCGAGGCAACTGGACCTAACAAACAAGAAGAGTCCTAAGTATTAGAAGAAGAGAGTTGTTCTCCGAAAGCACCGTACCGTTCAATCAAATTCCCATGCTGCCCATCATGCGACAATATGTCTGTACGTTTAGAGGTCGCAAGGTGCCTCAGACGATTTATAACTGTACTTAACCTTGTGCTTACGCTGGAACTACTTTATAGAGTGGAACAGGGAGGTCAATGGTTTTTGTTTAAAATATGATGTTAACTTTAAAAACAATGTGTGGAGCGTGGTGTCCAGTTTTATTGGTAACAACTACGCATTAAAATAAATGGCTTTTTTTTCCATGCTAGTTGTACCCACTATCTTTTTTTGTCGTACTCTTGAGTGCGAGTCAGTAGGATTTAAAAGGCATGCAGGTTAGCAGCTGGTATTTCCTACTTTGTAATTTGCAAAGCAAAAGTTGATCAGTTGATGGTGTCCACCACTGTGCATCAAGGTAGCGATCGCTCATGACGGCCATTGTTGCCATCTGTTCATCATTCAGAAGTAATTTTCTATGTATAATAGGTCATTCGTACCAGTTTTTCAATGATTTTTTTTTCATTTTGGATTTGAGCCATCATGTGCTCACAATGTCAGCACGGTGTCCAACCGATACACCTCACATTAAAGCCTAACAAGTGTATTTGATTCCACAATATGTCAGCTTGCTTGGAGTTCCAATGATTGAAGTAGTGGGGGGGGGGGGGGAAGGAAACCTTCGATTGCTTTCATATGTCTGAAGGCATGACGTTTGCGGTGCAATTGTAGTTTTCTTTAATTGGGCTAAAAAGCGCTGCATGACTCACAACTGGGCAACATGTAGCCCTCGGTCGATTGCTTATATGGTAAAACTAGATGTCTTTCGGAGGGTTGGGATAATGGACTTGGCCTGCTATGCTTTGGCATATTTAGATCCAGTTTTCCCAAAGTGGTTGGGTTAAAAAGCTTGCAGGTCCATTTTGTGGGGATTGCATGTAATGCTGTAAGCTCAAGGCAGATTTACTTGGTGAATGTTTATTTGCTTCATGTTCGTCCAATAAATGCCTGCCCTGTTTGTTACCATTTGGGAATGCGCAGCATACAGTACGTGCCAAGGTTCCTCAATTTGCTATGGTGTGGCGGCATCACCATCATTTGTCCAAATGCACTTAAGTCTCTCACTAACCTATATTAACGCGGTAGGAAATTCAGAAGTGCAGTAAAGATTTGTAGGAAAAGCACTTCTACTTCATAAACAGCAAACAAAGAAATGAAAAACTATACTGTCCATACCAGAGTATCGGATCTTTTGTGTCGTGGAACACCATATCCTGATGTCACTAAAAAGCAAGTTACTCACCGTTCATAACTTCATCTATCCATCCATCCATTTTCCAACCTGCTTTATCCTCACAAGGGTCGCGGGGGTGCTGGAGCCGTCTTCGGGCAGTAGGCGGGACATACCCTGAACCGGTTGCCAGCCAATCGCAGGACACACAGAGATGAACAACCATCCGCGCTCACACTCACACTCACACCTAGGGACAATTTAGAGTGTTTAAGGAGCTTGCCATGCATGTTTTTGGAATGTGGGAGGAAACCGGAGTACCCGGAGAAAACCCACGCAGCCAAAGCAAACTTCACACAGGGAGGCTGGAGCCGGAATTGAACCCACGACCTCTGCACTGTGAGGCCAATGTGCTATCCACCGGGCCGCCTAACCTCATATTATTAAAGTAAATACTAGCATGGAAAATGTGTCGGGACTATTGTAAATGGGGAATCCCCTTTATTATACTAACTTACAAAAGTGCTGCTTTAATAATGAAAATAAAAGCCTCACTGGATTCCATTCAAACCCAATTCATGACTGACGCATTAATGTGAAGCGTTTCTTCATGCGTTAAGCTTGTTTCCCTCATCTTCCTCCATGACTCCTTTTTTTATTTCAACAAGTATGTAGAAACAATCTGCTGAACTGATGACCACATTGCCATCACTGATGGAAAACACAGCCCGGGAGCTTGTCGACGCATGTCGCAAGCGGGAAAATCAGACACAAACAAACATCTGCGCGATTCAACCCAGTCTCATTCACTGGGACAGCAAAGTATGCAAAGTTCTTGCCAACTGTTGTCATCACGATGAACTCTCAAAAATGAAAAACATCGGCCGTGATTCAACCCGTATTGCCGAAGTTTTGGAATCCAAACTTTCCGCTCACGTTGGCAGCTGCGTGTGTGGTAGATTATTCCGTAATAAATTGCCGGCCAGATGAAAGGGTGGCGCCCTTGACAAGAGGTTTGTTTACGCGAACACTTTTTTGCGGCCCCTTGCTTCCCTTCCCGAAATGTTTTACTCTTTTGTATGTATGCAATGAGGATCAAGAACCCACCTAGTCCAAACTCTTACCTGCAGGGTAAGAGCTGTGTGTGCGAGACACACCCTAATCCCCCAAACATCCTGACCTTAATAAACCTGTCGCAGCTTGTTCAGAGCAGACCTGATCAACATTTGTTGTTATTTTTTGTCGTTTTTTTTTTGGTTTGTCAGTATTGCAAGTACCTCTGCCGAGCCTGGATCCTTCGCCAGGCCAACTCTCAGAGTGCCATGTGCATCCTTAAGATGTGAGCTCCTTGGCAAAGCTTAGTCTACCTTTGTGATCTAATCTTGTGCCTCATACCAGAACAAAAGCAGTTGAAGCAAATTAAAGCGCAATTATCTTTCGTGCGTGCCGGGGCAAGTGCTCCTGTCGGTTCGGCTGATGAATGAGAGACGTGGTCTTGGATAAAGCTGAAAGCTTGAGGCAGTGCTGCACATAACGGTTCGCTGTGGAACGGGTAAGCCTCAGTACTGTAAATGTATGGCATTTTACAATTGATTTTCTTATGGCGGGCGGCCTGGTGGTCCAGTGGTTAGCCCGTTGACCTCACGGTGCAGAGGTACAGGGTTCAATTCCAGCTCTGGCCTCCCTGTGTGGAGTTTGCATGTTCTCCCCAGGCCTGCGTGGGTTTTCTCCGGGTACTCTGGTTTCATCCCACATTCCAAAAACATGCATGGCAGGCTGATTGAACACTCTAAATTGTCCCTAGGTGTGAGTGTTAGCACGGATGCTTGTTCGTCTCTGTGTGCCCTGCGATTGGTTGGCAACCGGTTCAGGGTGTCCCCCGCCTACTGCCCGAAGACGGCTGGGATAGGCTCCAGCACCCCCTGCGACCCTTGTGAGGATTAAGTGGATCAGAAAATGGATGGATGGATTTTCTTATGGCTTAGTGACACAATAGTTTGCTGATGCTTTTTTTTTCCAATTGTGGGTGGTAAACGAATGAGATGGATGAATCTGTCAGTCCTAACTGGTTGACATTATGACGTTGACAGCGAAACAGGAGCTCAGAACTTTCAAAGAGAGTGACATACATAATACAGCGTTAACTAAAATTAGTTCCCACAGTTTAGCCTTTCCCGAAATTTTGAGTTTGAGTCAAGTATACCGATGTTGATTTTATTGAAAAACAAAAGGTCCTCCTTCATTTTTAGACCACGAATCCCCTCTAATTGAGTTTGTGCACCCCTCTCCGTTAATTATTCATATGTTAATTTTGGGTGACATATTTAATTTCATATTGGTTTATGGGGACAATTAGCAATGTAATTGTGTAATGATGATTCATCCATCCACCCATCCATCCATTTTCCGATCCGCTTTATCCTCACAAGGGTCACGGAGTGTGCTGGAGCCTATCCCAGCTGTCTTCGAGCAGTAGGCGGGGGACACCCTCAACTGGTGGCCAGCCAATCACAGGGCACACATAGGCACTCACACTGAGGGACAATTTAGAGTGTTCAGTCAGCCTGCCATACATGTTTTCGGAATGGTGGAGGAAACCGGAGTACCCAGAGAAAACCCACGCAGGCACGGAGAGAACATGCAAAGTTCACACAGGGAGGCTGGAGCCAGAATTGAACCCTGCACCTCGGCACTGTGAGGTCAACGCGCTAACCACTGGACCACCAGGCCGCCAGACTATCCATTTAACCGTAATAATTTAATTTTGTTTGGGAATCATTGTGGATAACGCAAATGTCTATTCCTAGCTCATGGATTTTGAGAAACCTCCGCTTTGGTATTTGGCACATTCTGGAGTGCTGCAAAGGCCTCGAGGAAAACAGAAAGACGTGGATTTCGTTTTGGTGGCCTCATTTTCTTCTAGTTTCAGGCATGTGCAGTAGGTGGGCAATCTACAGTATATACTCTGTGTGACTGTAGGTGTGGAATTTGCCTCCAACCTTAAGCAACCTTTCTTTTGAAATCATTCTTTTCTGCATCTCATTGACACACCAAATAAACGAAGACTTTCACAACAGTGGGTCGCACAGAGGTTAAGTGTTGGTTAGATTCCAATCTAATCTTCAGTTAGCAAAGCACTTTGACACATCCAAAAAGTACAAAGATCTTTTTACCCGCCTCTCATCCCTGCCCTGGAGATAGGTGGTGGACACTCTCTGCTGGCCACCCTGTTCATTCATTTGCCATTAGTCAAAAATTTTTTTCCAACAGAGTCTCAAGGGAAATCGACTAACCCTGGCATTTGTTTCAGCAATCCCCCAAGGACCTCTCGACCAGGCTTTCATGCACACTCACCGAACACCCGGCTCTGTTTCCCCGAGCGATGACCTCTTCAGACACATGGCCTCTTTCATTCCGCTCGGCTGAAACATCCCCGCTCCATGGCTCCCTCTCGGGCCCCCTTCAAAGTGCCGGGATGTAGCCTGCAGGCTTTTCACAATTGACACATTCAGACGCGTTCTTGACTGTCAATAGTTTAAATCACAGTGAGCAATCAGAGGGTCATATGAGAAGGATGATAATATGATTTCACCTCCTTTAGAAATATGAAACTCTTTGCGTGCTTATGTTTGGATCAAGTCCCAATCGTCCTTTGAGCAAGATATGTCGCTGATGCCAATGGGTTCATTATTTATTCTTGGTCATGAAATGTTGGAAATAGTAGAGCTGGACCAGCCAGTTCAAAGCACATTAAATAACTTTTTGTGTGTGTGAACTCAGCATCGGTGGAACACTTGCATTGCTTCAAACCAAAACTTTTCAAGAAGCCAACAAAGCTGCATGTTTGTTGAGCCATGAACAAAAATTTTCAGTCACACTCATATACAGTAATATGAGCAATTTCAAGTCTTGGGTGACCCTCACATAAATGTTTTGGGAATGTGGGAGGAAGCCGGAGAGCCTAAAGAAAACTTATTCAAGCATGTGGAGAACATCAAAACACCACAAAGTAGGTTTTAAGATTTGTTGACTACAAGGCAGACAGACGTACTACCTCGCCACCACTGTACTGCTATTACTGTCAATCAAGGAAAATCAGACCGCCCACACTGGAAAACATTTTGACTTCGACCCACCTCGACATAATCTCAGGCCCTCTCACGTGAAACCAAAATCCTCTGTAGTTGTCGGTTAGAGATTTTTTTTTTAACAATTTTTAGGAAATGAGAACAGAGATAAGGGCCGTGCGCCGGGAAGCTGTTCATACAATAAAAAAATGCATCTCGGCTGACAGGTGTTTCCTTCACACTGGATAAAGGGAAAACAGTTTTTTGTACAACTTGTGAAAGGTATTTTTGGCCAGGGCTTTGTCTGGCCAAGGTCCTGTCATCCATGAATTAAGTCGACAGGCTTTGAGCCTTGTCATGAGCTCAGTACAGCCCGCCATCCACTCAAGCCAACGTGTTTCAGTTACAGTGGAACCTCTACTTACGAATGTCTCTTCATATGAAATTTTCAAGTTACGAAACGCCTCAACAGGAAAATATTGCCTCTTGTTAAGACATAAATTTCAAAATACGAAAGGTAAAAACACAGCATGACCTGCTCCTCGCAGCTCTGAATTTCATGAATGCAACATACTTATAGCTGCTCTGCCATTGGCTATGACCGAGCATCATCCTGACATACCATTGACTAAGTGGGACCTCTACCGAATGTGTCTGTGTGTGTACTGTAGATAGATAAATAGATATGTGTCGATGCAGCATCTTCACCATTCACCCCTGCGGGCCATGAGGTGTTCCGATAGTTTTACATAAATATGAATCACCCAGAAAAAGTGTTCACCAGTTGGGAGATCGCTCACTATGCTGATGATGTTTGCCTTGGACATTTTCGAAGGATTGTTAAAAGCCGACAAAAACAAACGTCCGAGGATCAGTTCTTCACAAAACGCCAGGCAAAAACACTTCTCTCTCAACTGTATTTATAGAGCACTTTCAAACAGCCATCGCTGCATACAAAGTGCTCTACATGGAGCAACTAACATATATACAACAATAAAGCAATAAATCAGTAACAAAGATGGTAGAAGGCACCGAACAGTAAAACGAAAATGAAATCTGAGTCACTTCTGAGAAAGAACATGAACTAAAGAGGGCAAAAAATGATGAGGATGCAGTTGAAAGTTAAATGACCGTCATTTTTATTCTTTCCTCTATTCTTTGCTTTTTACATTATGCACAACTCTCATTTATTGTGCAATAATCTCATTGTAACATGTATTTGTTACATATTTTGACGCATTTTTATGCAGAAAACATTTATGTCTGAATTTGGGGGGGGGACTTGGAACGGATTAGGGCATTTACATGGAAAACGCGTCTCGACTTACAAAATTTTGTAGATAAGAAATTTCTTCCAGAACCAATTAATTTCGTAAGTAGAGGTACCACTGTATATATTTTCTGTCATCTAATAGAAGATCATTTGTTTGTTCTGTCTCGCACTGTAAGTCGTCAGCATAGATACGGTAATTCAATGAAGATACATTCATTTTTGCAAAGAAAATCATTTTTAGAGCAATTGAGTGAACCGTGATCATTTGCCGCAACGCACCTCCAAGAGCTCTCACACGGCACACTCATGTGCCCCGGGCAGTCTGGTTGAGAATCACTGGCACAGATAAGTGCTTTTAATCTTTTCAAATAAACAAGCCGATGCTTTGCTCATTCGTGGCGCTAAGCTGACGACCGTTACTGTGCAAACACTCTCCACGCTATCTGCTTTCTGAGGTCGTTCTCCATGTATATTGGTGGAAAACTCGGACACAATGACAAGCGCTGAGGACTTTGCCCGTCAAATATTGACTCGGGCAAAGTCACCTGTCGCAAGTGGCGATGGTGTGAAGTGGCTTGAAGGCCCTGACTCACCGGTATCGTTCCTTTTGTGACAGGAGAGCCCCGCATTCAGCATGGAGGAGGGATACGAGCTGGACCTGACGTACATCACGGAGCGCATCATCGCCGTGTCCTTCCCGCGGGGATGCCTGGAAGAGATCTACGCTCACAACCTGAAGGATGTCACACGAATGCTCAAGTCCAAGCACGCAGACAATTACCTTGTCAGTATAATGCACGCCTACAGTCTGTTGTCGCCGTTGTGGCCTCGGGTCAAAGTGCGCACGCTGCATTGATGTCACTGTTGCATGAATGTTGACCAAGTACTGATTTTTTTTTTTTTTTTTTAATGCTGAGCTCATTCACTATTGAGAGAATCGATGTCCAAAAAGAACATGCAGATTGACTCACTGCCTGTGTTTTCCACAGATTATCAACCTGTCAGAGAAAAGACATGACCTGTCAAGAATGAATCCAAAGGTAGATTTTTGAGACCACGTAGAGGGAGGCCCGGATTTGCCGTACATCATACATGATGCCGTTTTTAGGTTGCTAACAGCGCATGAAGAACATGTTTATGCAGTGGCCCAAGAATACATCGGTTGGCGCCATCATGACTGTTGATGTGATTGTTTTATATTTATCATCTATGTATTTTGTCAGACAAATATTCACCTTAATGATGACTTTTTTTTTCTCGCACATTCCAACCTTTGTACGAATTTGTCTTGCTGTAGGAATGGAACGTAAACCGAAGTCCTGCCGTGTCTGAAATAAAATCAAGCTAGATCAACAGAACATGCATTTTTTATCAGATTGGCGAGTGTTAAAATAAGAGTACATAAATAAACGTCAGAAATAGGTGCTAATAGTAAAAAAAAAAAAATTATGAAGGGAGCTTATGTAATGTTTTTCAAATAACAAAAATATCAACAAAAGCCAAAGATCTGTTGATATATCTAGACCCAACCGGTTTTGATGCATCCGTATTACGTTGTATTCACACTATGTTGTGTGTTTTCAGACTCTGGAAACTGGCTGGCCTGACATGCATGCCCCACCTCTCGATAAGATCTGCACCATCTGTAAAGCCATGGAGAGCTGGCTCAATGCGGACCCGCTTCATGTGGTGGTTATCCACTGCAGGGTAAGCATTCACAACCCCCCAATACCCCACCCCTGGAAATGCCAAACAAACAGTGCTTTAACATTTAAGTATTTGACTTTCTTGGTGAAGTGGAATTGCTTTTATGTTTTAGGGAAATTTTTTTTTAGAGTGCACACCATATTCCAGCCATCTTTGCAACTTTTGTTTTCATTTATGGGTCTTTTCAAACGAGTTCATACCCCAGTTCCATTTAGCCTCATCACCTCTAACTAATGAAATTGCCAAACACAACACAGTGGACCAAAGAAACAGGCTTTTACATTGGCGCTGAAACGTTTTTAAACGTGTATGACAGTTGATGTAATATGCAGTGTACAGTGTGTTTTAATAATTTCATTTTCCCATGGTTAATTCATTTATACCCCTGTATGACTGATGATTTGTTTAAAATCTCATTGAAAACATGGAGAGCGTTCTATTTCTATTCCTACCGACTGCTGTCAGGCTGCTGAATAAACATACGTGAAAACCTGTGACCATTGTAAATAGCACAGACACCTTATGCTGTGGTTTCTATTCTATTGCTAATTTATTATATTTGTTCTACAAATATACTGTGTTGCTAATGCTATATTTTATATTGCACTTTGATTGAATTGTGTACAGTTCTTTATGAAACATTTATTTTGTGCATTTGAAAAACTTTTTTTTCTTCCTCACCAATTTTGCTGCTGTAGACTGCAAATTTCCCCAGTGTGGGACAAATAAAGGTTATCTTATCTTATCTTATCTTATTTTCAATGCGGAAAAAGGTGTTTCGAAATCCAAACAAAGCATCCCAGATTTTTTTTTTTTTTTTAACTAAAGGAGCCACTGTGAAGAGCTTTTCAGTGTTGTTTAACATGATGACTCGTCTCTTGTTATCTAGGGCGGCAAAGGGCGAATCGGCGTTGTCGTTTCATCCTTTGTCCACTTCACAGACGTATCCGCCAGGTAAGCGCTCATGTGTGTCTATAAATGTCTTATGTTTGTCTTCTCGACACCGTTTGTCATCGTTTGCCCACTCCCTGTCTCCGTCGAGCAAACCACAACAATGCATCGTGACTCATTCGGCGGACCGCAAACTAAGTCAAGTCATTTGTTTACCTCCTGTAATTCAAGGTCGATGTGATTCAGAGGCTGACAAGGAGGGGAGGAAAAAAAAGGGAAAACCACACAATTTAACTGGTGAATCACCCCATATAGAATGACATGAATCAGCTTGAGAGAGAAAAAAGTGGCGACTGTAATAGCCGCCGGCCACGGTGTCACTTTCAGTGTATCTATTCAACTTTGACAGTCCATGTGACTGTTTTTGGTCTACCCAGTGAGGCTCGGCAAAGAGAACATTTACTTTTCTCCATTGTTGCCTTTTACGCGCAAAACTGGAAATTGGTGATCTAACACACATTGGATGCCGGAATCAAACTAAATGGGTTATCACTTATATATCGCTTCTCTACCTTTGGTACTCAAAGCGCTTTACGCTGTTTCCTCATTTATTTACTGATGATGCAGCATCAGGAGCAACTGGGGTTCAGTATTTTGCTCAAGGACACTTCGACAAGGTCGCATTGGCCAGGAATGGAACCCCCAATCTCTGGATTGGGAGACGACCACTCTACCGCTTAGCCCTGCCGCTATCTTCTGCTGTGGCTCTTTGGCGGTGTGAATGGGACCTTACATGCATTTAGCATCGTCAACCGGGTGGCAAACTCCTTTTTTGTTGCGGGCTACATTGTAGTTCCGGTTTCTTTCACAGGGCCGTTATGACTGTGAAACCGTATACTGTAAATGTTTAGGTACCCTATCATATCATTACATATAGACAACAAATTGACGTACAACTAGTTTTGAAATCACAAGTCTAGGATAATAGTTTCTTCAACCCCTTCACCCAAAAAATAAAAAATATTGCAAAAAATTTTGAAAAACAATCCAACCGTATATGCTTAAAAGCCTTAGATCATGAACGACGGCAGCACAGAACATCATTGGAGTGAATATGTGTTTCCTGTAATGACAACCGATTTTGGAAGAAATGAGAAGTATCTGCTGCTCCCACGGCCACAAAAAAAATAAAAATAACGTGGCTGGCCAGATCCCAACATTCACTTCCCCCATCTGTGTTGAAAGCACTTGTCCAAAATACTTTTTGGACTGGGAAGTGAATGTTGGGATCTGGCCAGCCACATTATTTTTTTTTTATGCCACACCAGACGCCGATGCTGACCTCACTCTGCAGTACGCATCTCATTATCAGATTTCGTGTCACTGTATGAAAGTCGCAGCAATATCAAAACTTAGTGGGGTTCTGTATAAAAGGCACATGTGCTTAAATGCGGCTGCAGAAATGTCACTTTGAAAGAGTCCGATGGAAAGGACGCGGTCGGGAAGGTGAACGTGAAAGACAGGAGTCTCTGAAAAAGAAAAGTCAGAGGAAGAGATAGGAAGAGAATGCGTCAGATTTGCAAAAGAATAGATTTGCGTGGAGGGGTAGGGGGTAGGGGTGGAGGCACGAGGGTCCGGGTGAAAAGGCCCCCACGCTTGTTGGTTTTAGGGATGCCTGAATGGCCGAGTTGTGCACACACTGCCTCCTCTCTGCCTCCCTGTTTACTTAAAGCTGCCATTCTCTTCCTCTCTGCAGGAATCCCTTGTCCCTCTGCTTACTTTCACTCGTCTCCATTATGCATGTGTATGCATGTGTGTCAGTGTTGACCTTGTACAAGTCAGGGTTAACGCACTTTAATTACTGGGGCAGCACAACTTGAATCTCTCTGAGTCATCATTCCTGCAAGTGTTAAATAAATTGTTTCTCCCCCATCCCATCTATTTCCTCAAAGTGCTGATCAGGCATTGGACCGCTTCGCCATGAGGAAATACTACGATGATAAGGTGTCTGCTCTTATGACCCCTTCACAGAAGCGGTAAGAACCACGACAGTTTCTGGGATCGCCATTCAACTTTTGAGGAATATGTCATCTTTCACTGATTACGAAGCCGTGTTTGATATTTTTTCGGTCTCATTAATGAGTATGTGACTTCCACTTCTTTGCCAATCTACAGCAAAGGTAGATGTGAAAATTAAAACACTGAATCAGAGCCACAAGCAGAACTCACCATTACTATTAGATCGAGCTATTTTGCTTACATACCTACCAAATGACATGACTAATCCAATTTTGCTTAAAGCGAAGCGAAGATAGTTATAAAATGGAGCAAGTCCAATCTACCAAAAATGTCATATTGCTTACAAAAGCTTCTTTTGATAGCTAACCCAGCAACCACTAACCTCATAATGAAGCTACGATCACATGAAAACAGCATAACTCTCCAATTCTGCCATGAAATGAAATGAGAAGCACAATCAAATGACACTGATAACGGAGCTAAAATAATGTTTACTGATGCTGAGCCATGACTGGTCATTACCTGAGCCCTGCGCAACTGTGATGTCAATTGCAGTCGACAGCAAGTGGCAAAATGGCCGTTTAACGTTAATAAAGCCAACACAATCTATTGGGAACAAATTTGCCAATAGAAGTATTTTTGCTCTCTCTTTTGTTAGTTTGTAAAGTAGCCACTTTGGATCCGGTCAATACAGTGATCCCTCGCTATTTCGCGGTTCGTTTATCGTGGCTTCAGTGCATCGCGGATTTTTTCAAACATATTCATTAAAAAAAAAAAAATCCATATACATGGAGTACAGTACTGTATATGTTGCTCTACGTGACTCGCTGTTGTTTTGGAGCTTCTCGCAGACCGTTTGCGGACTTTTTGCGGACTTAAAAAAAGGTTTTTTTTTTAACCTGTATATGTTTATTGGTCGCTACTTTGCGGATTTTCGTTTATCGCGGTTAATGGGGACCAAAACCACCCGCGATAAACGAAAATCCGCAAAGTAGCGACCAATAAACATATACAGGTTAAAAAAAAAACCTTAGGGATTACTGTTATTAATAACAAATAAGAAAATGTTGATGACTTGCTGATTTGAATAAAAAAACCCATCACAACAGGAAGCAACAAAATATAC